ATGTTGTCACGTCACGCGACCTTCGATTTAGAATGTTTTCATTTAAGGATTTACTATTGAGTTAGTTCAGTTAGTGATACCTGAAGAAGGGCATTGCCCGAAACGTTGTATCCAAAATATATATATTAAAATATATATATTAACTCCTTAGTGGTTTGACCTATAACATACTTCTTTTTATCTGTTTCAACAACCACTACGCGTAATTTCCTACACAGTTTTATACCTAATTTAGAAGCCAGCTAGTCAACATCACCCTCCGCCAACTCTTAGGTTACTCTAATCTATTAATGGATTTGAACGTCACATTATAACGTTCTCATGCTTGAAAGGGCGATCATGTTCGGTAAAGGGATTCAAACCCACGACTCTCTGATTGCGAGTTGAGCGCCTGAACCACTAGGCTATTCGATGCTTACGTATAAAATCACTTGTTTTATATACAAGTCTGGTGTTTGAATGTCTATAATAAAGTTCAACTTTAAAATAAGAAAGTCATTGTGGGTTGAAATAACAGAACACAAATTTGTTATCTGATACCCAGTCTTTGTGTTGAACCTTATTCAATCTATATTCACATAATAATAGTAAATGAAGCCATTTCATAAAATGACTGAAATCACTGCATAAAAACGATATTTAAAAAAAATCGTGAATAGCTCAAACGGATACTCATCATAAAATATGACTTCACAGCGTAACAATGAATAAAAGTTTGACTTGAAAACCACACCTCATTTTTGTTGTTTGAAAATACAACACCAAGGCTGATGGTAATACACTTTTCTTGAAGCAATTGCTGGATAAAACACTTATCCTAAAGACAATGGTAGGTGGCTAAAATATCTGAACTGAAGTTATTGCTAATTAATTAAAACATCTCTCCTAAATGTATTCATTGTTAACAACATCTATTCTGATGTTATTGGTAGTTGAAAGACCTTTTCAAAAGGTAATGGTCGTATAAACATCTTGAATCCTTTATGATTAAGACCCTTCTTTTGAAGTTATTGTTGGTTAAAATATCTAAAATAACTCCCAATGACGGTAAATCTTTCTTGAAGATAGTATTAATAAAAACATATCTAATGAAGTTAACTAGTGGATAATACGTCTCTTTTAAAGCTATTGGTGGGATAAACAGTTATTTTGCTGTTCATAGCGCAAAGCTACACAATAAGCTATCTTCCTTTTGTCCACTGCGGGGAACAGAACTTCGTACTTCAGAGCTTTAACTTACCGCCACCAGGGGACAAGTCTCAAATACTGGTTAAATAAATATTTTCCCCTAAAGCTATTAGTGGCTATAACGTCTTTCATGTAGTTACTGGTGGCTACGTTATATTCTCCCAAATCTGTTGGTAGTTGATATACCACTGCTAAAGCTAAGACTGAGAAAAACATCTTTCCTAAAGCTATTGATGGCTTTACTGTGTCAACAATGAGAACAATGAATGATTTTGTTTCTGCAACTATAATGTAATGTTAGACGTGCTATAAAAGTACAAAAGTAAACTAAAGTAACCTATAAAACTATTCTTTAATGGCATTCTAATATAGGGCCTCAGGAAACAAAAACTAACGGTTAGTTAAATTTATACTAAATGACAAATATATTTTAAGTTTGAATAATTTTACTGTAGACTAGCGATTTAACCAGGCTCAGATTGATGATAAATTCTGAGAACGGAAAACATTCGAGTTTACTAAAAATATTCTAAAAAAGATCTATAAAATGAAACCTTAGTATTTTTTTCTTCAGAATATTTAACATTATTTTACTTTCTTTTGATCAATAGTTTCCATTTTATAGCCAAAGTGTTTATATTTTTGTGTGTGTAAATGTGTGCTCTTTCCTGTTTTAAAGCATATAAAATGAATGTAGAACATTATTGAAAACTTAGAAGACGATCCTATGCCTCCCATTACTTGTAAATGCAAAGAGAAAAGGTATTTTAAGTTAAATAAAAGAAAAACTAAAGGTGAAAAAAGAGAAAACGTTCTCATGTTTCTTCTTTTTCGATAACAAAAGATACTGTTGTCTTGAGTCTTGAACATGGTGCTTCGAATATTATATGAGCTCATCCGTTGTTCTTCTGTGCTAAAGCGTTTTGGAAGAGTCATCTTGTTTATTCTGTCTATTACTGCTGCTATTCAACTATTTCTGATTAGTGCTTACGCTGAAATATCGCAGTTTAAAGCAAAGTGTACACCGTAAATATTAGTCGACATTTGTCAAGATATGAGAACTTTGTCAACCAGTTTGGAAGTTGTATCGAAATCAGTTTCGGTTTTAGTTTTGGTCTTGGCCTCATAAACACAACTCTAAACGATACAATAACGATAAATGAAAGATTAGTACTATCAGATCTGAAAGTGTGAAAAATTATATCACCGCAATTTAGAGATTTTGACCTGATTAAGTCGTGGATTCAAAGTTAACATACTATTAATTTAACAGCTTGTGCACAATGGCAATTAAATCTAAGAAAATATATAAAATTATTCCGAGTTTATCTAAAAAGCAAAGAAACAAAGAATTCCTATCAATTCCAAGTTAAAAGGGATTGTTAAACTCTTGTACGTATGAATTTCAGTTTTTATACTAATGAATGCTTTACATAGCATTTTATAAGCATGTTCATTTCCATTGTAGTTAGGTATTATTTCCTTTAAGTTTATTCGAATGAACTAAGTAAATTTATCTGGACTTTACAAAGAACTAGGTAAAACTAACAAAATATCTCATAGCTATATGAACAGCAGCCGTAGGCTTCTTAACACGTATTGAAATAACCCATAAAATACCCAAATGAGCAAACTATGCTGTTAACCCACAGTTATTTAACATCTATAGAAAATTACTAACAAATCTCTCCATCACAAACTTAACCACAAATGCTGCATATGTTACTGAATGTCGAAAATATGAAACTTTAATAGTTTAAGTTAGTGTTTTTGAGAGATGCACTTTACGAAAAAATGTATATAATTGCCAAGTGCGGTCAAAACAAATAGTATAGATTTTACACGTGAGAGTAGAATAATGTTTTCTGTTTATTAAATCAAACGTTTTCCTTCATTTTGTTGTCAACCTATTGAAGCGTCGACTTGTACGTTTATGTCACTTTTCATTTTTATTTTGCCTATCATATCACGTTTTTTCAAGTAAAGTTTACTGTTTTCGGTAAATAATAAAATAAATGCTTTATTCTGATGTCACACGTGACGTTCAAAGTTTTATTTATTTCATATTGATGGCAAAACATGGTAAAGAAAGTGAAAATTCCGTTTTTTCTTGTGATAATATCAACATAAAAATACAGACACACTAATACCGGGATCGTATTCATTATTATCAGTTTTTCATTGGAACTACCAGAATAGTCTCGTTGATAGAAGTGCGTTGGTTTGGGTTAATTTGTCAAAGCATTATTCAAATGTACTATGTTATGATTTAGTGTTAAATATATCAAGTATTAACTATGGTGCCGTATAAAGTATCATTATCATATTGATAAAACTTCTTAAACACTAAACTAACAATACGAAAGAAAGCACAACCAGTCCCTCAGCAAATCTTTGCGTGTTGTCTTGTTGTTATTTTTTTAGTTGATTGTCACACGATCATTTTATTTATTCTATCCGTCAGCGAGATAACTCACTTGATTTTTAAGATAGACGGGCATTCACTGTCGTTTC